CGACCGAAAATTACTATAAACAGTATAGGAGTTGACAAAAATATAAAATTTTAACCTACTTTGTTTAAATATTTCATTACTGTGGACTTCGATAATAACAACGACATGAACAAGCAACATTTCTACATAAAGTTTGTTAGCATTTGTTTACGTCTAGGTGGTTCCCGAGATACACGTACTTCCACTGGCAATTCCATCGAGTTGATAGTGTAATTTTATAGTAAATCGCTTATACACCAGATAGATATCCGTCGAATAATGTAGTATCCTTTCGGGCGATTCAAGCTGTGGACTTCGCGATGTAATTGTCGATGTTCAAACAGTTAATTTATCCAAAAACAATGCTAGTTAATCCACGACAAACCGGTTCCAAAATCGTTTAAAAGTTGGCCTTTTTACGGTTCTTGTATGTCGCCATTAGGCCATCTTAATATCCAAAAACGACAAGTTTTAATACAAATTTGAGCTGTTTCGAACAGCCATGTTTCTTGTTTATTTTGCAAGACTAGATCCAGGCTCTCACACGTAAAAACACAGGGATATTTTAGGATTTTTTAGGATATTTGCGATATTTTTAGTCTTGATAAAAATTTGCGGGGTTAAAGGTCAAAATAGCGAGGTTTAGCAAAGACGACGCGACGTCAAAGACGACGTGAAAATGGCGTAAAAATGGCGTGGGCACATCCATAGATGGGCAATTACCGGAAGTGCTCAGCAAAAACTGCAAAAATATAGTTTAAAATCACAATTTTTGGCTGAATAATACTTGAATTGGAGATTTAAAGTAAAATGCGAAGTCGTTTTACTTATGTTAGGCAATGTTAGGCATATAAAACGGACTTAGCCGCTGACTACAAAAGCGGGAGCAAAATGTCCCATATTTCTGGTGGCGGCGGCGGCGGCGGTAGTGAACAAAATCTCGATATAAATGCTTTGGATTGTACCAAAACACAGCTAAAATCGCGTCGGTAGGTGGCCTATGTTGGGGATTGCCTCCAAGTATCACCCAAAATAAATCAAAACAAATCACAGTATAATATATATCTATTACAAAATCACAAATTTCACAGTCTCACAGCCACATGTTTTTAAGTTCTCTTTTTAAAAAACAACAACCACCGGTATAATCCGGAACTTTCCGAAGTGTCTAAAGTTTGGACTCGCGCGTCCCACGCGTGAACATAAATAATTCTAAATTACGACAGTTTCCGACAGTCTGGTTCTTTCTCTTGTGGGACATCAAATGCTTATATACTGTTTGCTGTTTCATCGTCGTGTTTTCTTTGATGCGTGTGCCTGTTGTCCTACCCGTTTCTCCTATATATAATGCCTCGCAGTATGAGCACTTAATTTTATAAACTACATTCTTGTTGAGACATTTATCGACTTTGTTGGTACATTTACATGTTTCACAAGCTTTAGGGCAATGTGCCGTTCTCTGGGTGGAGCAAATACTCTACGCAATGATTTGCCGTTCATAAATTGAATTCTGACACTGTCTATTCCTGATCGTTTTATCACTGCAAGCAGTGGCGTGCTGGGTACTATTTTTCTGGGGGGGCCAGTTGGCTGTCAACCAATCTGCGCCCCTATAATTTTACGCTTGATAAACGAGGGCCGAAGGCACGGGCCGAAGGCACGAGCCGAGCGCCGCAGGTGCGAGGTTTGTCTAGGGGGGTCCGGGGGCATACCCCCCAGGAAAGTTTTTGAATTTAGAGTCTCTGAAATGCCATTTCCTGGACTTTGGGGGAAGATTTGACAGAATCTGATGGTCAGGAAACGGCATTATAACGTGTCAAAATTTGCAATTTGGTTAGAATTTAGTAGTAGTATTTAAATTGGGAGATGCTAACTACTTCCAGCTATTAATCTAACCCCAATTCTATTCTCTAGTGATATGAATACATTTACTACTTACATCTCTTTTATATAACAACACACGGACCCCACGCATATGCATTTTAAGGTTTCCTTGCCTGGCTGCCAAAAGGGCGCGTTTCAGCATTATTTCATTACTTACATTACTCATGATGTTTCTTGCGCAAACAACTAAATTGCGTATACACAACTTTACATTATTATAACTTCAATTATCTAATTTGCGCCGCTCTCGTGGTTCGTGAAGGATGATAAAAGGCGTAATATAAGGGCATAATGCCAGGAAAAAGGGCATAATTCCCGTGATCGCTTCGAAACCTGACCAATATTCCGGTAATGAGACATTGGGTGTGATCACTGATCATGTTTCTATATGAACGATTTCGTGTGAGCCGTGAGGTAGCAAATTAGCAAATACGGTTAGACAAAATAGTCTATAATTTAATATATTGCTTTATCGCCTATATTCTTAGTCTGTTTATAAGCCTATAAACACATCTCTTCAGTTTCTTGGCGGAAGTAACTATATTTTTTCGAATTTCGCGTTTTTCTCCACCCACTTTCAAAATTCAGGGCGGGATCGGCGCCCCCTTTTCATTTTTGCGCCCCCCAAGAATTGCCAGCTGGGGGGCCGTGGTCCCCCGGCCCCCCCTGCCAGCACGCCACTGACTGCAAGGGCACGCCGTCTAAATTCTTCATTAATGAAGGGAATCTTTAAATATAGGCATATTTAATTTCATCCTCTCTAGTTGATTTCTTATTTATATATTTATATAATTTATATATATATATATATATATATATATATATATATATATATATATATATATATATATATATATATATATATATATATATATATATATATATACACGGCCAGAAATCTCTCAGACTTGCTGCAAGTTGCGGAATTTACCTGGCCGCCGCAAGCTGATGACAAGTTGCGTCAGCCCTGATGAATACGTCAAGCCGCGACAGACCTGATATATATATATATATATATATATATATATATATATATATATATATATATATATATATATATATATATATATATATGGGGAAATTTTGAGTGTAATGACTCGAGAAATATACGTTTGTCATAATTATGTACGCCCCACTCTAAAATTTCTACATCCCCAGAGCATACTTCGTGTCCAGTTCGTTCTGCATGTTCCTTTATATAGCCTACTCAATTTGCGGTCTCGTTCCCGGTTTATGTTCAGCCCAGCGGGATTTCCATGATCTTTTACTTTCTCCAATGTAAAGGAAATTACATGCTTTACACTTGAATTTATAAACAATGCCTTTGACTTGAGTTTCTGATGGTCTGTCTTTCGGGTTTTTTAATATTCCGCCCAGTGTTGTTAGTGGCTTATACGCTGTTCTGATATTGACACCAGTCAAGATTCGGTTGACTCTCTCAGAAATGCCTTTGACACATAGGATACATGCATAACCTTTGGGCTCAGCAACAGAAGTTGGTTTGTTCGAACTTTCGAGTTTATAGCGAACTTTCGAGCAATAATGTTTATAAAAGCAGATGTGCAACCATTTACACTTAAGGCCTTTCGAACGTTTTGTTTCTCAGCTATTTTCCCTTGGATAGTATTCGGAATTTTATCAGCTCGATCAAACAACTTTTAACCACTGTAGCTTTGTGTTGTTTTGGATTGTCGAATGATAAATATTTGTCCGTATGTGTAGCTTTTCTGTGTACAGCCACCACCACGTTTCAGCATGGTCTGACAACAACTTCCGTATCCAGGAACGAAATCACGTCATTATCGCCCACCGTCGTAGGTAACTCAGTGGTGAATTGAATGCATGGATTTATCGAATTCAAATGGTCGTGAAAACTTTGAACGCAGCTACGCTTTATAGACAAGAATTGGAGTCGTCTACATAACGCTTCCACCACTTCAAGTCAACTGGCGATGTCGTTATAGCTATTTCTTCGACTTCTTGCATAATAAGTTCCGCAATAACGGCACTCACCGGCGATCCCATGGCACACCCTGAAATTTGATGAAAAAAGTTTCCTTGAAATTTGAAAAAACTGTTGTTCAAGACAAATACCAGGAGATTCACAACTTGTTGAGCAGTCAATAGTGTACACTCTTTCCACTTGTGGGACTCAGAAAGTCGTTACTTGACTACATCCACAGTCATTTTCACGGGGATGGAAGTGAATAGTGAAATAACATCAAATGATACAACCACCTCATCTTTCTCAACTCTCTGGGTACACACAAACGTCGAGAAAAGATATGTTGGTGACCGATGGAGCTGTTTATTGGTCTTAAGGGGATCTGTGTTGGAAGATTTTTCTTTTCAATGGTGAAGTGGTCGTGTTCTTCTTTTAGCGGAATCTTATGGACTTTGGGAAGGCCATAAAATGCCGCTGCTGTGGAATCAAAAGGTCTTAATTTCCAATAGTCTAACTCCGATAGATGCCCTGAATCACATAAAGTCTTGAGCATCTTTTGCAAGTCATTTTCTGTTCTTGTTGTTGGATTTCTACGTTTATCTGTAATCGTTTTATAAACTTTACTGTCTTGTAACATTTCTTTCACTTGTGTTATGTAATCTGATCGGTCCATTACTACGTTTGAATTCCCTTTATCCGCTTTAATATAATTAGGATGTTATTGTCCGTTCTCAAGCCTAATTTCAATGCTAGCTTTCGTCTGACTGCTCGACAGGTTTTGTTTTCTTGGGGCTTTAGCTTGTTTCAACGCGCTGGTTACTTTCTGTCTCACTTCGTTCTGCTTTCCCTCTGTAAAGTTGCGTACCGCTTGTTCAACTGCAGCTAGTATTTCTTTGGTAGGTACGACTCTTGATGTTAGGGACCGGTCATAAAGTAACTGCTAGGGTGGGCCGGAGTGATTTGGGATGGGCCATGAAAAATATTTGGGCAGTTTCGATGGGCCGCCAAATTTTTTGTATGTCCAGGGATGGGCCACCAAACAAAAACCCATGTCTACTTCAAAAATAAAGATATTAATAATAAAAGTAAACAAAGCTATCCAAATTATCAAATGGGATATTAAATAGATGTACTAGGCAGCATATATGAGCAGAAATAATGTATATTTCTCCCCAACTGAACAGATATATACTTTCATATTCAAATCTAATGTTGATTAACTGTTCAATTATCATCTGACTCTGATGAAAGCGAGGAGTTGTTTATATTTAATATATGTTCAATATCTAAATTGTCACCAGATGTATCCATAGACGTATGAGGAGTTACATGGCTGGATGGTAGAGGTGCAAACATACTGAGGATAGAAGGCTGCTTTTTCTTTTCCTTAGTCTTTTCTTTTCTTTTATGATTTGCTTCTGAGATTAATTCCTGTTTGTGCATGTGTTAGTGCATCTAACATACCTTGTGCTACGGGCAAAGCATCATCATCAAACCACTTATTCTCAATCAAGTGGCTTAAAGCTTTCAGATGATACCTTGGGTTAAGATCTTTCTTTGGGCATAAATCATCTTTCACAATTTTGATATTCTGGGATTTAAGATCATCAAATACAACTTTCCCATCTGTAATTATTTTCAGAACTTCACTGACCTTTGCCTGTAAGCGGTTCTCTCTTCTCACTTCTGCTTTTCGCTTGTTTTCTTGCAGTCGCTTACGCTTTCTTTTGCTCTCAGCGACTTCATCATTAACATGTGAAAGTTTTCTTTTTAGGGTGCCAATGTTGGTTATTAGCTTTGTTTGGCACTCTTCCAATTTGCATTTCATGGCTTCTGAGTCAGTCATTCTATCATCATAAAATTTCAATTCATTAGCTTTCCATGACTTCACTTTATTTTCTTTGTTAAATAAAGTTGACCGTTGTTTCATAATGATGTCAATATATGTTGAAATATTGGAAATAGCTGAATCGATGATGTCTTTAGCCGCTTCTGCTTTGGCACAATCACCTGTTTGAATTGAACCTAATTCATCAGTTGAGAACCTCTGAATATTCTGAGAATTGCCATCCTTGCCTCCTTCACCAAGTAAATTATTCACTCTTTTTTCCCACTCGTTAATAGTCCGTTGGATTTTCCATCGAGTATGACGCTGCTGTAGCACTTCATTCTTAAATTGTATTGGAGGGATTAAATCATAGATAGCTTCATACAGTTCAATCAGTACAGCATTATTAAATTCCATAGATCCTTAGCTGTTGCTGGCCCTACAGTATATTTAAAAGAAGAAACAGAACGTTGGATTTACATATAAAAGTATTATTCATCAAGTAACAAGTTCGATTGTGTATAAAAATACATGACTTTAACAGTCGAATCTATGAATATCGCCCTTCTTGACATTCGTCTTGACTACAAAACAAATTATTGAAACAAAGATGTGCGGAAATATGAAATGTATAAAATATAAAACTTACATGTAGATATATCAGTGGAAATTTTGTCTTTCACTGAGTGGGCAACAGTATCAAAGTGGCTTGGCTCTCCATGCTTCGACTTGGAATTCAAAATTTGCAAGGCAGCAACAAATCGTTTTCTATGACCTGGCTTATGAACAAGGCCAACTTCTGCAATCACAACATTCAAATCCTCGGCGGACATCTCGAGAAGCTGTGGCAGATCATCATAACCAAGATTCAAAAACGAATCATAATATTGTACGAGGTTATTTCTCTCCAGAAAATTCTTAATTTCCTCTGCTGCCTCTATTTCTTTTAGCATATTATTTTTGATTTTATAAAGTGGTAAATTTTAAACTTTGAATGATCACGCTTTGGGCGCTAGAGGGTAATGCAGAAATAATACCGCTGATATTGGCAACGCGGGGGTAGAATTGGGCTTCGCCCGCGTTGCAAGCCTCCAGAGGTTTTCCTCATTTTCACACGACCCTCTAGCGCTTTCCATAATTTACAGTATTTACATGAATAAACATGACTACCACGATAAACAAAGTGCGCACTGCTGTTAGAAGAGATTCCCGACTGAGGTAGAGGTTCTCTTCAAACTTGCAAGTTGGATGAGAATGAGGATTTACTGACGAAAAAAATCAATGACATAGATGAACATGCAGAGTCGCCCGAGATCATGGCGCATAGAAATAACCTAAGAGGACTGCGTGCCATTTTACAGCAACTGCTTTGCATCACAAGCGCTGGAAACAGAAGTGTACGATTCTCTTACATTCAATTTGACGAAGCATTTGCTTTATTTTTGTCTTTTCACCCTGGTCTTTAATGTACGAGTCAAATCCAACCGCGATCAGCCCCCCCCCGGGCAACCCCCCGGGAATTTGACTTTTGAAAAAATAATTGGTCAAATGCCCGCCCGAACAGGCAGAAACCACAGTCAAATGCCCTGCTATAGGGGTATTCCTGTTTCTGGAATTTTGACTAAAATTAAATTGAACAAGTATTTCAAGATTAAAAAGAACGAAAAATAGGCCAGACAGTTCTTCTTTTTGCTCAACTGGGTATATTGTATCATATATCTATGATTGATATTTGTGATTCAGAAGCAATTTTCAAACTATCGAAAAGACGCAAAATAGAAAACTCGTAAAGCGCTAGAATGTACACATATTTTTAGGGAAAACTGCTGAGCAAGTTGTTGTCAAGTGGTCAAATGCCCGGCCGGGCCGTCAAATTCCCGACCGGGCTGTCAAATTCCCGCCTATACGGGGGTAATGTTAAGTCAAATACCCTGGGGTTGCCCGGGGGGGGGGGCTGATCGCGGTTGGATTTGACTCGACTGCAGAAAGTCTTACAGATACAAATCGCCAAAAGGTTTTCAAGGAGTTACTCTGCCACCCAAAGCACGGACTATCTGTTTATGTTGTCAGCAGCAAATACATATTACTGAGATCATCTGATGTGGATCTAGAACTGTTTATTGAAGACATTATTTCCTCTAATGACAACAGTGAAGTGGAAGAGGGTCGACTAATCATTTCACGCGATTTGCTACAAGATATGTTGAATAGCATGGATTCCGCATGGGATAAAAAAGTTTTGAAGGTGGCGTTGGGTGGCACTCGTAGTAGGAATCAGTTACAAGAACTTGGAATTGGTTCTCGTATACAGCAGTATACCCAATCTGTATTGGAAACCATACAAGAAAAAAAGACAGCTGAAAATGATGCACGTAAGCTCGTTGTTGGAAATCTTGAACGGAAAGCAGCAAACATTGGCAAACGCATACAGAAAGAGAAATTTAAGTTGGCTCAAAAATGCAATAAGTGGAATGAGGTACAGTTGCATGAACTGCAAGAGATTATTGATGATTTAACAGAACAATATACAAGTGTTCACAAACTGCTTGACGACAAGTCTGGCAGCAAAAATTTTAAACATATGGTAAAACGAAAGCATTGTAAACTTGTCATGGAGAAACGGATTGGTATGAGAAAGTCAGGAACAGGAAGACCTCGTGCAATGGATGAAACTGATGAAAACTATGTTTTACAGTGCATTGAAAACAAAGCCACAGCACATGGATGTCGACATGACAGTGTGATGTATTTGAATCATAGAGTCAAAAAGAAGGATTTCTTAAGACTAGCCAACACCAGTAGAATTTCACGTGGCCTGAAGCCTATAAAATTTTCTACAACTGTATTTAATCGAGCGCGTCCAAGAAATCGCAGATCACTGCAAGCAAAAAAACACCTTGGACTGGGATTGTTTTGTTCTAAGAAGCCACCCAAGCTAGAAGATAATGAAAACATTCTCACACATCACCAACGTGCCTTCAAGAAAGCAATACTAATGGAATGATGTGGTGAAGATGATGAAGAGAAGATGAAGTACAATCTATTCATATCAAGGGATGATAAAGCTTATATATGTCCTGGAACTGGCACTGGTATGCAGAGCGCTCGAAATGTGAAGATTATTCAACCATCGGATCCTTCAAAGCAAAGGGTATTGCCAAAGTATGATTTTTCCAGAGCGCCTAGTAAATGCCACTCCAGGTGTAAACCGGATCATAAATTATGAAATTAATAAAGAGATGGGTTCAAAAGATCAACTAAAGATGACAGATACTGAAGTTGTAGTATTCAATAGGCCAAATAATTTTGTTGGGAGTAATGGTTCTGTGTGGGCTTCGGAATACATGAGACTACGCTATGAAGAGCCAGTACTTTTTGTTGTAGATGAAAGTGAACTCAAATCATCCACGGCATCACTTACAAAGCTTGTTGATCAGTTAAAGTTGTATTGCCTCATGTCTAACAAGTCTGATGTTTTGAACATATCACCAAATCTCAGTTGTGCTCATCGTCAACACGAAATCCTTAGAGCTACAAGTCTTGTTCGTATATTGACATCTTTCCAAGATACTGTTGAAGAAGAGCCTAATAACTATTTGGATGTAGACATGAACACTCTTGCTGAACTGGTTAATTCATCCAGAGGGAAATATAAAACAATGCCCTGGTTGGAATTATTTCACTATGCTGAAAACTTTCTTTGACCAGCATGTTGAAGTTGGAGAGAAATACATGGAGTATGTCAAATGTACTTGTGAGCATTGTCAAATTTGTGCTACAAATACTTGGGTTGGACCTCCTTGTTGTAAGGTTCCAAAACCTTACCCAGATTACGCAAGTGACGGATTTCACTATTTGGATGTTAATAGTACCCCAACTGAAGTTGATGGTGAAGCTAGGGCAATTGATGATTTCCAGCCCAGAAAACAAGCAGCTGACCAAATGAAAGAAAAAAAGCTAGAAAGTGAGGAACAGCTGGACACATTTTCAAAAAAGTTTATTGTTGAGAAAACGAGATTGAGAAAATATATTGAACATCTAACTGATTTGGAGATTAAAAGAAAGAAAAGAGAGAGAACAGAAAAAAATTGTCAGAGCAAGAACAGCAGAAAACATTTTTAGAATATAATTGGTTGGAATTATTTGAGAAAGGTTTGTTGTCAAAACTCAAAGTAAATGTTCTGGACAAATACTTATCTAATTATAAACTGCAGGGCAAATTGAAATTAAAGAAAGCAGAGAAAGTACGTATAATTCAGAGACATATTGCTACAACACATGTGGAGCTAGATGCAGGTAATGATAGATATGATATGATATTGATGGATATGGATCAAGATGAACTAGATTCAGATCAACCATGTGACACAGAATCGGAAACTAACTCTGAACTTGAGTCTGGGGATAGTGCAAATGACATAGTTTTAGCAGATACTTATCTTTCTGATTCATCATCTGGTAGTGAAGAACAAGAAACAGCAAATGATGCTATTGAAATCAGTACTTTGTTTACAACAACAAGAAGTGGTCGAATAACTGCAAACACAACCAACTGGAGAGCAGCTCAGTATTGGTGATGAGTAAGTGTTGGTCTAGCTCGGTGGAATTTAATATGTATGTTTATAAAGTGCCAGTGTATATTTACAATGTTTTATATACCTGCAAGTTTTTTTTATAAAATAGTGTATTTCCCAATTTAGATTGGGTGGGTGGGTCATGAAATAAATTTGGTAAGATTAGATGGGCTTTGAAATTTTTATCTACATCCTAAGATGGGTCACCAAACTTATTGGCAAAATTTGTGATTTACCTCCAGCCCACCCTAGCAGTTACTTTATGACCGGTCCCTTAAATCGCCTTAAGATGCAAATGCTAAGTGAAAGACGCGAGACTCATTGTGTTGACTTGATTGCAAATATATCTTCACCCGAGCATCGTATACACAACTTACTTCCAGATCGTGTTAGAGATACAAGACAAAGAGAAACCGATCTAATCCCAATATGTATTATAACTTTAAGTTTCGAACAGAGAGATTTAAGAACAGTCCCTTGGTGTACGCTATAAATTGTTATAGGCCTAATAGTAGTTTAGCGAGATCTTAGTTTTACCAAGTTTTACAAACCTTGATAGTTTAATTATATATTTTTTAATTATCTAACAACTCATATTTCACTTTATATAAGGTATTTCTCTATAAAGAATATTTTACATAATGTATAATGTAAACTGTAAATATTTCATCTTAAATTTTTAATGTAAATGCATGGCAATTAAGGCTTTATATGGCCTTCTTCATGTATCATGTATCAATAATAAATAATAATAATAATAATAATAATAATAAGCTATAGCGTGGTCAATAGGTTGTCTTGATTGTAGAAACCGAGGCAGAAAACCATTTTCCTTGCACCGATGTAAATAATATAGGTGTTGTTTATACTCGAACTTGCGAGACTAATGTTCGTTCTAATCTTCTTGCCATTCTTAACGTTTCAACGTCATATGTGGTCTTAATAATTTTAAAGATGCTGGTTGTGTGTTCAGTAAAAGACATGTTTTTGTTTATTGTTGTAACTGATCTATATTATATACTACGGTGGCCCAGAAGTGTCACAACACAATTCAAATTAGAAAACACCCCCCAAAGTCTACAACACATTTCCAAACTGGAAACACAATTCAATAATTGCTAAAAACACATTTCAATGTTCACAACACATTTCCAAACTGGAAACACAATTCGATAATTGTTCAAAACACATTTCAATATTCACAACACATTTGCAAACTAGAAACACAATTCAATAATTGTTCAAAACACATTTCAATATTCACAACACATTTCACACTTGAAAACAAAACTATTGAAAACACATTCCAATATAATCACAACAAAAATCGAAATCGAAAAAACATTTCAAAATATTAGCATGGAAACATCGGCGATCAATACACCAGTA